AACCTTAGAGATCACTAGAGTAAAATTCCATGTAAATTGCTAAGGCATCAAATCAGAACTGTCCTTGGGCATCGTAACATTGCAGAAAACCTCATTTCCCTTTTTAAAAAATCCCCCCCACGCTTTCTTTTCTTTTTTAGAATAGGCACAATTTATTTATGGAAGGAAAAGTTCCTCTTTCACCACAGATATGTCTCCTTTATTTATGCTTTGGAGACCAGAAAAATAGAAGCTCACTTTCATAAAAGTAAAAAATATCTTGGTGAGTAAATAGCCAACTGCTAAATTCACATATTTGCCTATAAAGTGAGCAGTTTCATCTAAGAAACTCCGAAGGGACCAAAACCAGGGCATTTCATGGTTCCTTGTTACCGAACCTACAAAGTACAAATTTCCTCATGTTTAACTTTGTTGTTACTGCTACTGAGTAAATACCCATTTCTATTACATACAGCATATTTTATGCTTCATTCATTTTTCTGAGTTCACATAATTTTGCTGTAGTCTCTCATTCACTTTAAAAACCTGTAATTTTCATCTATTTATAGAAGAGACTGTAAATGCACAGTTGTGCATTGGGCGAGTTGTTTTGTTTTTTTTTCCCTGGCATCATATTGCTTTAATTATAGGCACCATGCCTTAGAATAAAGCTTACTAAGTGTCAAAGGGCTACTGGTATCTTTTAGTTTGGTTCACTTTTACCAGACAACTGGGGAGATGTAAATAAAACCAGAGAGTATTTGTCATTGAAGGAAAAAAAAAAGGTCAAGGATGGGGTGGGGTAGGGAGCAGCTGGGGTGGGAGAATTCAACATACTCAATATCTAAGGCAGAAAGATGTCTAGGAAACTACTGCAGACAATAACAAGAGTGAATGTGATCCACAGTAACCATCTGACACCAAATGATATTTACTGCCTTGCAGTGTCATACCTGTTAGCAAAGTTCGGTTAGTACGTAAGCTGCTTAAAATAGAGGAGTCTTCATTCTTTCCTCCCTTCTTCTTTCTTCCTTCTAGTCATTCTTTTCTCCCTTATTTTCTTTCTAGAAAACTCAGCACTCTTTCAGTTGAACATTGTAATTGGATAGTTTCTCATTTTACAATTCAGCTTACAGTACTCTACCAAACTCTATAAAAGACCCTTATTTGGATATGATCTTAAAATGAGAGTATTTGGGAATAAAGTAATAATAACATATGTGTATGCCCGGTTTATTAAAGGATTATATACCTCGTTCCATCCCCTCACATACTCTATGAGGTAGATAATGTTACGATCACCATTCTACATACAAGGAAACTGAATCACAGAGAGGTTAAGCAGTTTGCCCAAGATTGCACAGCTAGCGATGTGATGAGATTTTTAACTCAAGCAATTTGACCCAGACTCCATACTTAGTTGGGGTAGGCTAATAGGTATAACCAACAACTTCACAATTCAGTGGCTTAACAGATTAAGGTTTGTTTCTCTCTAAAACATGAGTTTCATGTAGAAGCTCCTCTCCAACCACCTTGTTTCCAAAGGTGACTCAGAGATGCAGGCTCCTCCTATCATGTGGCTTTGCTCTCCTTGGAGGCCTCTCTATTTGGCCTGCTATTGTGGAAACAGCATGGGTGATCTTGTGTTGGAGGGTTTTATGGACAGATTCAAAAGCAGTGTGCATCACTCCACCCACTAGGTTCAGTCATATGGCCTGGTAGCGAGGCTGGCAATGTTGTCGGTGGGGGAGGGAAAGGAGCAGGGTTTGATGAACATGCAGTAGTCTCTATTATAATATTCTTAGTCATAATAGCATATTGCCTTTTAAAAATCACTCCGTTTTGTGCAACTGTTTTGATGAATTGCTTATGCTGATAATCCTTATTAAGAACACAGAAAATTTTCCTTTATGTGAATGTCAATACCTACAACTCAAACAAAATAAACTAGGGAGAAAATATTTTATTCAATCTATTATGCCAAGAAGAGAAGTATGATTTCCCTTACTCAAGGAAGTAAAGAGAGAAACTGGTACTCTGGAATACTTGTAAGTGACTTAATTCTACCAATAATAGAAGTAACATGACTTTTAATGTCAATGATCTGTGCTTAAAGTAAGGTAGATCCATCCTCGCCTCTAATCAACTCATTTTTTGTGTGTGTTTCTATTTCCTTTTCAACTTTTCCTATGGTCATCAGGTCTATGCAGTGGCTGTGATAAGTTTTTAAAGTAAAAATTGAAACTGCAGGTTCTCATATCTTAAATTACAAATATCTCTTGCTCCCTGTTTCCTTTTTCTATTTGCATATGAACTCGTTCAAGCAAAAAGGTCCTAATAAGACATAAAAATATCAGGATATATGCCTATGGAGAAAGATCACTTTTTATATTTTATTTCTCTTCAGCTTCAAACGTTTTTCTTCCCTTCCCAATTCTTTCTATTTTTTTGACATTATTTTCTTTAAGATATCTAGAAATCATGTTCTCTTAACGTTAATAGATTTCACATCCTAAAGTTCTTTCTCATCTAATAGGAAACTGTTTGCTGTCTTGGGAAAAATGCTTTGCATGTTAGCATATAAATCTTCTTAGTCTGTCCATTGAGAGAGATTAATTGAGACTCTAAAAACAAAATAATTAGAGAAGGGAATCTGCCAATGTTCACCTTCTTCTAGATCAATGTGAAATTCCAAAGGACAAGAAAATATAGAACTTGGTTGGTAAATGACATAGGTTTGAATTTCTTTTTAAGAGTTGTAACTGGTAAGAATATCTTAAATTGCTTTACAGGGTTAAATTGAGGTTCTCACTATCCCTAAATTCATGGCTAAAATTTGTGAATAGCACTGGCATACAGTGTG